ACAGGAAACTAGACAACACGACAGGAAACTAGAGAACATGACAGTAAACTAGAGAACACGACAGGAAACTAGACAACACGGCAGGAAACTAGACAACACGACAGGAAACTAGACAACACGACAGGAAACTAGACGACACGACAGGAAACTAGACACACACGACAGAAACTAGACAACACGACAGGAAACTAGACAACACGACAGGAAACTAGACAACACGGACAGGAACTAGACAACACGACAGGAAACTAGACAACACGACAGGAAACTAGACAACACGACAGGAAACTAGACAACACGACAGGCACTAGACAACACGCAGAAACTAGACAACACGACAGGAAACTAGACAACACGACAGGAAACTAGACAACACGACAGGAAACTAGACAACACGACAGGAAACTAGACAACACGACAGGAAACTAGACAACACGACAGGAAACTAGACAAACACGGACAGTAAACTAGACAACACGACAGGAAACCTAGACAACACGACAGGAAACTAGACAACACGACAGGAAACTAGAGGAACACGACAGGAACTAGACAACACGACAGGAAACTAGAGCAACACGACAGGAAACTAGACAACACGCAGGAAACTAGACAACACGACAGGAACTAGACAACCGACAGTAAACTAGACAACACGACGGAACTAGACAACAGGAAACTAGAGAACACGACAGGAAACTAGACAACACGACAGGAAACTAGACATGACAGTAAACTAGACAACACGACAGGAAACTAAACAACACGACAGGAAACAAGACAACATGACAGGAAACTAGACAACACGACAGGAAACTAGACAACACGACCGGAAACTAGACAACACAACAGGAAACTAGACAACACGGCAGGAAACTAGAGAACACGACAGGAAACTAAACAACACGACAGGAAACTAGACAACACGACAGGAAACTAGACAACACGGCAGGAAACTAGACAACACGACAGGAAACTAGACAACACGACAGGAAACTAGATAACACGACAGGAAACTAGACAACACGACAGGAAACTAGACAACACGACAGGAAACTAGACAACACGACAGGAAACTAGAGAACACGACAGGAAACTAGACAACACGGCGGGAAACTAGACAACACGACAGGAAACTAGACAACACGACAGGAAACTAGACAACACGACAGGAAACTAGACAACACGGCAGGAAACTAGACAACACGGCAGGAAACTAGAGAACACGACAGGAAACTAGACAACACGACAGGAAACTAGACAACACGACAGGAAACTAGACAACACGACAGGAAACTAGACAACACGACAGGAAACTAGACAACACGACAGGAAACTAGACAACACGACAGGAAACTAGACAACACGACAGGAAACTAGACAACACGACAGGAAACTAGACAACACGACAGGAAACTAGACAACACGACAGGAAACTAGACAACACGACAGGAAACTAGACAACATGACAGTAAACTAGACAACACGACAGGAAACTAGAGAACATGACAGGAAACTAGACAACACGACAGGAAACTAGACAACATGACAGTAAACTAGACAACACGACAGGAAACTAGAGAACATGACAGGAAACTAGACAACACGACAGGAAACTAGACAACACGACAGGAAACTAGACAACACGACAGGAAACTAGACAACACGACAGGAAACTAGACAACACGACAGGAAACTAGACAACACGACAGTAAACTAGACAACACGACAGGAAACTAGAGAACTCGCGAGGAAACCCGTGCAGAACAGAGGGAGAGAATACAAACTGCAATCACACAGTCACTCATTTGTGCAATGTCTCCGTTTATTTTTCAAATGACGAACCTCTCGCACGGTGTTTCTCAACCCCTTTTGTTGGCTATTGTGTACCGACTTGTTTCAAACGAATACCCCCCCCCCCTCGGCTGACCCAACATGGTTGTGAGAAATAAATGTTATGAATAGCGAACATCAATGTTAACGAACTGTCCCATTTAGTGAGGTTATATCCTAACTGGCTGAGAGTAACTGCAAGCGAATAGATACGAATTTCAAAGGACGCTCTGCGAGCGTGACGTGATTCGTTTGCTCTCGCTGGTTACTCATGTAATATACCCATCAACCCGTTATCAGTGCCTTACCTTATTAGAGACTGATTCAGACCTTATTGGTTACCCCGTGCCTTTCTGAATTTCAACATTCATCGGACAAAGTCCCATCACAAGGGAGAAACACGGACAAATAAACACATTTTTGGCCCATACTGAAACGGCTATACGCCGTATGGACCGGAGAACTCAATTTCCCTGCACAAGAATACGGGAAAACCGTCTGGGTGGACAGGTATCTTGTAAACCCACATTGTTTATGATCAGTGAGTTTAGAAAGGTATTTCATATAATTCTAGGTTACCATACGGATTTAAATGTTACCGTAGTTATTTTATCCTGGCAGATTCATGCAACATGATTATTCACCCATGACTCTCACGTATGATATAACTTCACACATTTATAACTCACCTCCGTAAGTATCCGTTGGGACATTGATTGCCACGTACCCCTAGGGGTCCGCGTACCCCCGGTTGAGAACCACTGTAGTCGGGCACATCCAGTGTTAATGTCGTCAGATTTGTATCACCACAGTCGCAGTCTTATTCTGGCTCACAACAACTTGGTGGGCATTCCGGTGAAGAGTCCCGTGGATTTCGTCGACTCATTCTCTCCCGCTCTAGCCTCCCAAAGCGGTCACATTCGGCCAAACTCTCAGTTGTTGCACGTCCACACGAAATACTATTGGCTCCGCCAAAACGCAACCCAGGTGAGTCTTTGTACGTATGTACATTGAACTTATTTTGGACCGTACGTAGCCAACCGTACTTATCGGAGGTGCCGCGCTGCCGAAAACGAATCTCTGAGAGCAGCCGTGTCGACAACCAGGAATGCCGCTTACCGAGCGCCAGAGAGGATTAAAGTCCGAGCCGCGCTTAATTTCTAATAGCGGTAAAAGCGTTCACAACAATGCGCAATTTTCCCCGCCGTTTAAACAAAAAAAAAACGTTCGCCCCTAAACACACGTTGTTCGATAAGAGCCAACGCCTCGCCTCGTAGCACCGCGGCAGAGCGCTCTGGCCCACTGAACGCACCGAAAAGCCACGTCGCGTGACGCCGCGGAACCTCAAGGTGGGACCGAGACGCGTACTGCAACTCAGCGGAGAAGCGTCACGGTGGAGGCAGTGAAATTAGCACGAGTTCACAGCCTGCACAACGCGCGTATTGCGTCCATCACGACAAGTAACCCCAACCCCCCCCCCACCCCTCCCCAATTTACAAATGAAATAATATTTACAGCCGTTTACATGAGGTTCACAAACCTGGTCCCGTTACTAAGGAAACGAGTGAGGGTAACGAGTTCGTAGGATGTTTCCAGAGAGCAAACGCAAGGGAGGCATGTGGCGAGAGCGATGACTGATATTAAGCACTCACCCCAAGCCAACGCGCAAGCCAGACAGTCTTTCAAAAAGTAGGCCAAGGCCTCCTATATGGCAGACAGACCTCCGCGATGATTGGTTAGGAGGCGACAGTTTGAAAAGTTTGAAGGAAAGAATCAAACGGGGAAAAAAGCGGGAAACAAAAGTTTAACCCGGAGGTGGCGGTTGGGGACCGTTGGAGGAGGAGGACGGGGATTGGCTGCGGTCAAAACAGTGTAGGGGAAGTTCGAGAAAGGGGGGGGGGGGGGGTCGAGAAGGTTAAAAGGAGACGCTCGAGGAAAGGGACAAGCTTCAAGGTTAAGAATGAAGCCCAGGCCTAGTGCTGCTGCTGTGCCCATAATAAAGAGGCTCCCGTTATGCAGTCATCGGTGCCATTACGAATGTATAAAAGTGAGTTGTGTAGGACATCTAGCCGGGCCGTCAAAAGAAGCCAGATGGGCAGGATCGATGATCGAATAGAGGCCAAGAGAGGGAAGGAGAGGTGGACAGGCACACGAGAGATGGAGGGACAAGGTCAGAAGATTTGGAGGGACACCCCTGGATAGAGGAGGTGGTAAGAGATCATGATGCTAGTGGGTCAGAAAGAAATTAGAATCACAAATCGATTTTGCAATTTTAGATTTGTGGTGTTGTCAGGTCGCTCGCGCTTCTGACGATGCAATTCCCTGCGATCGCATCACTTCCTGTTGACCACAGCCTACTTTGCTGGGTCAGGGGCCCAGGAAGGTCCCAATTGGGCCAAGGTGGTGTATAAATTGAGGCTGGTGAAAGCAAAAGCGGGTGTGGAAGAGCTGGAGAAAGCAAAAGCGGGTGTGGAAGAGCTGGAGACGATGGGATCAGGAGCCTGACCTGCATCAATGAAAAATATGCTCCATCCGATTGGAAAACGTGCTCCATCCGAATGGAAAACGTGCTCCATCCGAATGGAAAACGTGCTCCATCCGAATGGAAAACGTGCTCCATCCGAATGGAAAACGCGCTCCATCCGATTGGAAAATACGCTCCATCCGATTGGAAAAGGCGCTCCATAAGATTGGAAAAGGTGCTCCATCCGATTGAAAAAGGCGCTCCGTCCGAGTGCAGCTGCGGAGCCTCTTCACCGTCAGTTCACATTCTGGCTGCGCTTCACACGCGGAGTGGAGCCGCACATCTCGACGCGCGCACGGGACATTTTTTCCCACGCGAGCCAAATTTGCCCACGGAACAACAAAGCGAAACAAAACGACGACGACTGCTCGACGCGCAAGACGCACCGCAAGCAAAACGCAACGCAGCCGCTGCCGCACGTGGCAGGCCGGAGCCAAGTCCGTCCTCGAGTCCGGCCCCTGGACCGCCCTTTTTCATTTCGGTCGTGATCCCGGGCCATTCTTGCGAATGAGAGTCCTCCATCCTGGCCTCGTGAGCTCTCACCCCGGTTGCACAAAAGAAAAATTGGAACACTTCATTTTGGCGGCACGCCAACGGATCTTTTGAACCGACGGATCGACGCACGGCCGCCGCTACTCGGCACGTCCCACGCCCTCCAATTCGGTATAAGTCGAGGGAAGGGACACCTCCTCCTCGCCAGGGCCGATCACCTCGCCCACCGTCACCCCGCAGTCCGCGCCGAGGACGAATTTCTCGTCGTCGCGCTCCGTCTTCACGGCCGACAAGAGGAAGGTTGGATATCCCTCCTCTTCCTCTTCTTCCTCCTCCTCTTCCTCCTCCTCTTCCTCCTCCTCCTCTTCCTCCTCCTCCTCTTCCTCCTCCTCCTCTTCTTCCTCCTCCTCTTCCTCCTCCTCCTCTTCCTCCTCGCTGCCAGGATTCACCCCCAGCCAGGCGTCTCCCCCAGCAGCGACGCCTTCGTCTTCAGGCTCCTCCTTGATGACGAGTGACGCCGCCGGCGGCAGCGCTCCGGCGTCGCTCCCCCCGGGCGGCGCGGCCTCCCTCCCCGGCGTGGCGCGCCCGCGGGAGTCCTCCGCACTGGGAGCGCAGGCCGGAATGCCGGAGAGCCCCTTCCTGCACCGGCCGCACTCGTACGACTCGTCGCCGTCGTCGCCGTCGCGGTTCGAGCGCCGAGAGCGCGACGGCCCCTTCCTGCCGCAGACCGCGCACTCTCGCCGCGGCCGCGCCTCCCCGCGGTGCGTCCGCCGGTGGCTGTGCAGCGTCCCCGACTGCGTGAACCGCTTCCCGCACAGCGTGCACTTGTAGGGCCGCTCGCCCTCGTGCGTCCTCCGGTGGACGTGCAGCGTCCCCGACTGCGAGAACGCCTTGCCGCACGCGTCGCACCGGTACGGCTTCTCGCCCGTGTGCGTCCGCCGGTGCCTCCGCAGGTCGCCCGCTTTGGCGAAGCTCTTCCCGCACGCCGAGCAGCCGTGGGGCCGGGCGCCGGTGTGCACGCTGCGGTGGCTCTGCAGGGCCCCCCACTGCGCGAAGGCCCGGCCGCACTCGTCGCACGCGTACGGCCTCTCGCCCGTGTGCGTGCGCCCGTGCACGTGCAGCTCTCCCGCCGTCGCGAACGCCCGGCCGCACTCGGGGCACGCGTGCGGCCTCTCGCCGGCGTGAGTCCTCCGGTGCCGGGCCAGGTTCCCCGGCCGGGCGAAGGCGCCGCCGCACACGGTGCACACGTGCGGCCTGTCGCCCGTGTGCGTGCTCCGGTGGCTGTAGAGGCCGCCGAACTGCGCGAAGCCCTTGCCGCAGACGCCGCACCGGTAGGGCTTCTCGCCCGTGTGCGTGCGCCCGTGGATCCGCAGGTCGCCCGAGTGCTTGAACGCCCTGCCGCACACGGAGCACGCGAAGGGCTTCTCGCCCGTGTGCACCCGGCGGTGCCGGTGGAGGCCGCCCGACCGCGAGAAGGTCTTGCCGCACGCGTCGCACCGGTAGGGCTTCTCGCCCGTGTGCGTCCGCCCGTGGATCTCGAGGTGCGCCGGCAGGCGGAAGGACTTGCCGCAGAGGGCGCACGCGTGCGGCTTCTCGTCGCTGTGCGTGCTACGGTGCCGGTAGAGGGCCGTCGTGTCGGCGAAGGCCTTGCCGCACACCTGGCAGCCGTAGGGCTTCTCGCCAGTGTGCGTGCGCCGGTGGATGGTGAGGCGGCTGCGCTTGTCCGTGCTGTACGGACACTCGTCGCAGCGGTGCATCGCAGCGTCAAGTCTCCCGCCACGCCGGGCCGTCTTCAACCGTGCCTTCGGGACAACCGGTCGGTGCGTAGGTGGGTGAGGAGGTGGGTGAGGAGAAGGGTGAGTAGGGGGGGTGGGTGGGTAGGAGGATGAGTAGGTGGATGGGTGACTAGGTGGGTGAGTAGGTGGATGAGTAGGTGGGTGATTAGGTGGGTGAGCGAGTGAGCAGGCGGGCGAGCGAGCGGCTCACTTCCTTCATCGCATTCCCCGCCTCTCATTCCCTCGCGCTCTACTCTACCTCCGTCTTCCCGCGGCCTCTCCGTGTGCGCTAACGGAGCTCTCGGACGCGGCTGTCGCGCGACTGGCGGCGGTCGCCATCATTGCTGCCTCGTGCAGCCCAGCGACGCTGCAAGTCCAAAGCCGAACGAGGCTCTCGGCGGCTCGTCGCACGGCGCTGCTCGCACGGCGCCCTCCCCAGAAGGCTGTGCGGCCGGCTGGCGGGTCGCGCGCCTTTGCTAGGCTGCGCTCGTTTGCGGGCGGCGTTGGGGGGGGGGGGGGGGGGGGGGGGGGGGGGGGGTGATGGGGCGGGCGATGGGGGCGATGGCGATCGTCGCAATGACCTCGACCGCTCCCCTGCGTCGTCGCGACGGAAGCACGCGCGCCGCGTTGAAATCCCGGCCGTGGAATTGCTCGCGGATCATTTCACGACGTCCGGGGGTCCGGGCACCTATGTAGACACGCAAACGAAGACAGAGATTCCCCCCGTTTAGCCTTAACAGACCGTAGCGGCAAGTGCTGTTAGCGAGTAGCAGCACCAATGAAGGCTGACACGGCACGCAAGGGGGTGGGTAGCCAACACACCACGCCCGGGCCGCCTTTGTCTCCCCTAGTGGCGATGTTTTTTATGCACCGGGCACTCGTTTGAGGCTGAGTCGACCTGGGGGAGACCAAGGACTGGCTCAGATAATCGTCACCGGTGATGTTGGAATCCAACTCGGGTCACCGGGTTCATAGTGCAGCGTAGCGCTAACCACTACACGCACAAAGTATCCGGGATCGGACTAAACATAAACCAATGTTGAGAAATTACTCTTGCATATTACTCAATTTGGGATTATACAGCAGCAGCAGCAATGCCCCCGAACACTGCTACGGTGGCTAGGAGATGTTAACCACCTCGCCTGGTGTGCAGGAGGTCGTGGGTTCTATCCCGACCCTGACGATGCCTGCTGCTGTATATTTGGAGTCTGCGTCTCTCTCTCATCATCATCATCACGGTGGCTAGGAGATGTTGACTACCTCGCCTGGTGTGCAGGAGGTCGTGGGGTCTCTCTCTCCCCGTGGTTGCGTGGATTTGTCTCCGGGTCCTCCCGATTTGTCCCACCACAAAAATACTGTCCCTGTGTCTCTGTCCCCGTGTCTCTGTCCCCGTGTCTCTGTCCCCATGTCTTTGTCTTCGTGTCTGTCTCTCTGTCTCCGTATCCGTCTCCGTGTCCCCGTCTCTGTCCCCGTGTCTCTGTCCCCGTGTCTCTGTCCCCATGTCTCTGTCTTCGTGTCTGTCTCTCTGTCTCCGTATCCGTCTCCGTGTCCCCGTCTCTGTCTCCGTATCCCCGTCTCTGTGTATTTGTCTCTCAGTGTGTTTCAGTCCCCATGTCTGTCTCTCTGCCCCATCGCTGTCTCCGTGTCCCCGTGTCTCTGTATCTGTCTCTCTGTGTCTCCGTCCCCGTGTCTCTGTGTGTCTCTGTGTGTGTCTGTGTGTCTGTCTGTGTGTCTGTATCGATGTATCTGTCTGTATGTGTCTCTGTGTGTGTCTGTGTGTATGTATGTCTGTGTCTGTGTGTATGTATGTCTGAGTGTGTCTCTGTTTGTGTGTCTGTGTATGTCTATGTGTCTGTGTGTATGTCTCTCTGTATGTCTCTCTGTGTGTCTCTGCGTGTGTTTGTATGTGTGTGTCTCTCTGTCGATGTGTGTGTGTCTGAGTGTATGTCGATTCAGCCTCAAATGAGTACCTGGTGCGGTGTGTAAACATTGCCACTAGGGAGACAAAGGCGGTTGGGCGTGGCGCTGGCCACCCACCCCCTCGTGTACCGTTCCGGCCTTCATAGGTGCTTGCTAACAGCACTTGCCCTTACAGTCTGTTAAGGCTATATGGGGGATCTTTGTCTTTATCTTGTGTGTATGTTTGTGTGTCTCTGTGTGTGTGTTTGTGTGTCTGTCTGTGTGTCTCTGTGTGTCTGTGTGTGTGTCTGTGTGTGTGTCTGTGTGGTTTCAGGAAAGGGCGGTCCTGCACAAATGCCATATTTTCTGTCCGTCTGCTACAGCAGAGGTGTAGGGAATTCCAGCAAGACCTACATCTCTGCTTTATTGACCTGGTCAAGGCCTATGATACCATCAGTAGGCCTGGGCTCTGGGTTGTTCTTCGTGCTTTTGGAGTACCAGACCCTCTGCTCACGATCATTAAGGACCTTCATGATGGTGAGCGGGCCCGGGTAAAACTACGTGGCTGGGAGTCAGAGCCATTCCCTGTACACCTTGGGGTGCGACAGGGATGTCCTCTGGCTCCCACATTATTTAACATCTATTTTGACCATGTAGTTCGTGAAACCTTCAATAGCTGTACCAGGGGAATCTCCATATGGTACAGATATAATGGGAGGCTGATCGATGCCCGGGTGCGGTCAAGGGATGGCTCCCTATTGCTCAACCACGTTATGTATGCCGATGATTTGGTAATAGCTGCTCATTCAGAGGAGGAATTGGAGACGCTGCTACTGAGACTGGAGCGTGCCACTAAGAGATGGGGCCTTACCATCAGCCCCACCAAAACTAAGCACCTGCCTGGGTATTTTGTACCATCGGACACCCCACCCCCACAACTCCCAATCGGTGATGGGGTAGTTGTGGAGAGAGTGGAGTTTCCCATACCTGGGCAGTGTGCTCATTACCGGCTCCAGTTTAACAGCAGAGGTCTCACTCTGAATCAGTCGAGCGGCAATATCTTTTCATCGGTTGCATAACGCTGTGTGGAAGCTTCCTGGTCTGTCGCTCCGCACTAAGCTTCAGGTCTTCTCGGCCACGGTCATTCCCTCCCTTATCTACGCTTGCGAAACGTGGACCCCCCTAATGGAACATCTTCGCCGGTTAGAAACATTTAGGCTAGCCTGCCTATGATCCATCTTGGGTTTAACCAGGCTGGATTGTGTGAGCTCACAAATCCTTGAAAGATCTGGGCAAGGTCCCATCGGTGAGCTCCTCCGTCAGGCAACGCTGCGTTGGCTGGGTCATGTAGCCCGCATGCCCAGCCACCGCATGCCGAAACAGCTTTTGTTCGGCCGGATCGAGGGGGCTAAACGGGCACGGCAGGGGCTAGAGAAGAGATGGAGTGATGTGGTACAGGAGGACTTGGAGCTGAGTGGACTTGCCGATGACTGGTACCAGCGGTGTCAAGATCGGCCTCTGTGGAGGAGGCTCGTGAAGGACGCTACTGGGCAGTTGGAGGCAGTCGCCCTCCAACAACAACGGAGGGCGGAGGAGCGACGCTCACAACAACGAGCGGAGCGCCGGGTGGCTAAAGCACAGCAGGTTGGCACAGTAGGGGGCACAGGTGGTGCACCAGCCAGTCATCTCAGTCAGTCGACCCGTGGCACCTGGGTCTGCCCCGTGACCTCCTGCCAGCGGGCGTTCGACACTCCACGTGGCTTCAATGTGCACATGGCCTGGCACAAGCGTCGTGGTGACGTCACCACCACTTAGTGGCGAATGGCGGTTGTTGTGTGTATGTATGTCTGTATCTGTGTGTCTGTGTGTATGTATGTCTGTGTGTCTGTGTATGTATGTCTGTGTGTATGTATGTCTGTGTCTGTGTGTATATATGTCTGTGTCTGTGTGTATGTATGTCTGTGTCTGTGTCTCTGTCTGTGTGTATGTATGTCTGTGTCTGTGTGTGTGTCTGTGTGTATGTATGTCTGTGTCTGTGTGTATGTATGTCTGTCTGTGTGTGTGTCTGTGTGTATGTATGTCTGTGTGTGTCTCTGTCTGTGTCTGTGTGTGTGTCTGTGTGTATGTATGTCTGTGTATCTGTGTGTCTGTGTGTATGTATGTCTGTGTGTCTGTGTGTATGTATGTCTGTGTGTCTGTGTGTGTCTGTGTGTATGTATGTCTGTGTCTGTGTGTATGTATGTCTGTGTGTCTGTGTGTGTGTCTGTGTGTATGTATGTCTGTGTCTGTGTACGTATGTCTGTGTGTGTCTGTGTGTATGTACGTCTGTGTGTGTGTTTCTTTCTGTGTCTGTATGTATGTCTGTGTGTGTGTCTGTGTGTATGTATGTCTGTGTGTGTCTCTGTTTGTGTGTCTGTATGTATGTCTGTGTGTGTGTCTGTGTGTGTGTCTCTGTTTGTGTGTCTGTATGTATGTCTGTGTGTGTGTCTGTGTGTATGTATGTCTGAGTGTGTCTCTGTTTGTGTGTCTGTATGTATGTCTGTGTGTGTGTATGTGTGTGACTCTGTCTGTATGTATGTCTGTGTGTGTGTCTCTGTCTGTGTGTGTATGTATGTCTGTGTGTGTCTCTGTCTGTGTGTCTGTATGTATGTGTGTGTGTCTGTATGTATGTCTGTGTCTGTGTGTGTCTCTGTCTGTGTGTCTGTATGTATGTATGTCTGTGTGTCTGTGTGTGTCTCTGTCTGTGTGTCTGTATGTATGTCTGTGTGTGTGTCTGTATGTATGTCTGTGTCTGTGTGTGTCTCTGTCTGTGTCTGTATGTATGTCTGTGTGTGTGTCTCTGTTTGTGTGTCTGTATGTATGTCTGTGTGTGTGTCTGTGTGCGTGTGTCTCTGTCTGTGTGTCTGTATGTATGTCTGTGTGTGTCTCTGTCTGTGTGTGTATGTATGTCTGTGTGTGTGTCTCTGTCTGTGTGTCTGTATGTATGTCTGTGTGTGTGTCTGTGTGTGACTCTGTCTCTATGTATGTCTGTGTGTGTGTCTGTGTGTGTGTCTCTGTCTGTGTGTCTGTATGTATGTCTGTGTGTCTCCGCGCCTCTCACCGTTTCCCAAGACGCGACGCCGCCACCTCCCCTGCCGTCCTCGCGTGACGTCGCGATACACAAATGTCGTCATCGACGCGGCTACCTTGTACAGTTATTACGTCATATGTTGCTTCTCAAAAATTAGACCGAAACGTCGCCTATTATTTTTTATATGCGAGGAAGGGCCATTGCTCGAAACGTTGCCTATGATCTATTGTTATCTTTTAAGCTCACCCAATGATGTTTTTTAAAACGTTTTCTAAAGTGACGTCATGTTGGTGATTCGATTCGCTTGCCCCGAACTCCCCCCCCCCGCATAAAAAAGTAAGGCGGCATGACGTCATTTAGTTGTGCAAAACACGAGCGCCATCTTGGCAAGGGCGCACAGAGTCGACCCTGGGTCTGCTGTAGGTCGGCTCAGCCTCAAATGAGTATCTGGTGAAGCGGTGGTGTGGAGTTAAACGTCGCCAGCACTGGGAAGACAAAGGCGGCCGGGCGTGGTGCTGGCCACCCACCTCCGTGTGCCACAGTGCCGCTTAACGGCACTTGCCCCAACAGCCTGTGAAGTTGAGGCTGAGTCGACCTAGGGGAGGCCGAGGACCGGTTCAAATAATCGTCACCGGTGGTGGCCGTGAGCGGGAATCGAACTCGGGTCGCCGGGTTTCGTAGCGCAGCGCGCTAACCGCTACACCCACCGCTCCTCCACCCCACACACATACACACACAGACACACACACAACAACATCAACCGCCATTCGCCACTAAGTGGCGGTGACGTCACCACGACGCTTGTGCCAGGTCATGTGCACCGTGAGGCCACGTGAAGTGTCGAACGCCCGCTAGCAGGAGGTCACGGGGCAGACCCAGGTGCCACGGGTCGACTGACTGAGATGACTGGCTGATGCACCACCTGTGCCCCCTACTGTGCCAACCTGCTGTGCCTTAGCCACCCGGCGCTCCGCTCGTTGTTGTGAGCGTCGCTCCTCCGCCCTCCGTTGTTGTTAGAGGGCGACTGCCTCCAACTGCCCAGTAGCGTCCTTCACGAGCCTCCTCCACAGAGGCCGATCTTGACACCGCTGGTACCAGTCATCGGCAAGTCCACTCAGCTCCACGTCCTCCTGTACCACATCACTCCATCTCTTCTCTAGCCCGTGCCGCGCCCGTTTTGCCCCCTCGATCCGGCCGAACAAAAGCTGTTTCGGCATGCGGTGGCTGGGCATGCGGGCTACATGACCCAGCCATCGCAGCCTTGCCTGCCGGAGGAGCTCACCGATGGGACCTTGCCCAGATCTTTCAAGGATTTGTGAGCTCCTCACAATCCAGTCTGGTTAAACCCATGATGGATCGTAGGCAGGCTAGCCTAAATGTTTCTAACCGGCGAAGATGTTCCATTAGGGGGGTCCACGTTTCGCAAGCATAGAGAAGGGAGGGAATGACTGTGGCCGAGAAGACCTGAAGCTTAGTGCGGAGAGATAGACCAGGTAGCTTCCACACAGCGTTACGCAACCGATGAAAAGATATTGCCGCTCGACTAATTCGGAGTGAGACCTCTGCTGTTAAACTGGAACCGGTCATAAGCACACTGCCCAGGTATGGGAAACTCTCCACTCTCTCCACAACTGCCCAATCACCGATTGGGAGTTGTGGGTGTGGAGTGTCCGATGGTACAAAATACCCAGGCAGGTGTTTAGTGTCCGATGGTACAAAATACCCAGGCAGGTGCTTAGTGTTAGTGGAGCTGATGGTAAGGCCCCATCTCTTAGTGGCACGCTCCAGTCTCAGCAGCAGCGTCTCCAACTCCTCCTCTGAATGAGCAGCTATTACCAAATCATCGGCATACATAACGTGGTTGAGCAATAGGGAGCCATCCCTTGACCGCACCCGGGCATCGATGCCCCAAGATACACACACAGAGACACACAGACACACACACACAGACACACACAGATACACACACAGATATATACACACACACAGATAGACACAGATACACACACAGACAGCGCGCTACACTATAATGCGTTACGCTTCCACATGCGCGGGTCACGTGACAGATTTGGCGTCACAGCTCACTTGCCGTGCAAAAAAATACTTGCATTATTGAGCTCCCCCCGCCCCCCCAAAAAAGTGTATTTTTATAATTTTTGCGTGGTGTACAGTCTGCAAAGTACCCACATGGCAAATGTCAAGTTTGTTGCATGTCGGGAAGTACGCTAAACATTTAGGAATAGGTTTTACCCTTTCAACTGGCACAAAAACTGACACCTTTATTCAAGGCATCATGTTTGCCATGACCACAACACAAGCAGTCAAAATGCAAACAAAAAAGACAACTCTGATAATAATATGCACTGTCCTTGAATTTGATTGGTCCACACCCGAGACAGCTTTTCTTAGAGCCTAGTCTCCATTGTTGTTGGACCAGAAGACGCCAAAAGGCGTACAACTCAAAAACAGCGCAGTATCAGAGTATTGAGGGCTCGGGGTGAGCATTAACATTATGAGACCTCCTTTGCCAGAAACAAGATATAGGAATAGGTTTTACCCTTTCAACTGGCACAAAAACTGACACCTTTATTCAAGGCATCATGTTTGCAATGACCACAACACAAGCAGTCAAAATGCAAACAAAAAAGACAACTCTGATAATAATATGCACTGTCCTTGAATTTGATTGGTCCACACCCGAGACAGCTTTTCTTAGAGCCTAGTCTCCATTGGTGTTGGACCAGAAGACGCCAAAAGGCGTACAACTCAAAAACAGCGCACTATCAGAGTATTGAGGGCTCGGGGTGAGCATTTACATTATGAGACCTCCTTTGCCAGAAACAAGATATAGGAATAGGTTTTACCCTTTTAACTGGCACAAAAACTGACACCTTTATTCAAGTGCGCTGTTTTTGAGTTTGTACGCCTTTTGGCGTCTTCTGGTCCAACACCAATGGAGACTAGGCTCTAAGAAAAGCTGTCTCGGGTGTGGACCAATCAAATTCAAGGACAGTGCATATTATTATCAGAGTTGTCTTTTTTGTTTGCATTTTGACTGCTTGTGTTGTGGTCATTGCAAACATGATGCCTTGAATAAAGGTGTCAGTTTTTGTGCCAGTTGAAAGGGTAAAACCTATTCCTATATCTTGTTTCTGGCAAAAGAGGTCTCATGTTAATACGCTAAACATTTTTAACAGACACAATCACAACTCTTCCTGTTATATATATGGAGATATCTACACAATGTTTACGCACCAACGTGTACAATGAGTCATTAAAAGAGAGCCCCACCCACGGTGGCTAAGAGATGTTGACTACCTCGCCTGGTACGCAGGAGGTCGTGGGTTCGATCCCGACCCTGACGACGCCTGCTGCTGCTGTAGATTTGGAGTCTGCGTCTCTCTCTCATCATCACCACGGTGGCTATGAGATGTTGACTACCTCTCCTGGTACGCAGGTCGTGGGTTCGATCCCGACCCTGACGACGCCTGCTGTTGTATATTTGGAGTCTGCGTCTCTCTCTCTCTCTCATCATCATCACGGTGGCTAGGAGATGTTGACTACCTCGCCTGGTGTGCAGGAGGTCGTGGGTTCCATTCCGACCCTGACGATGCCTGCTGCTGTATATTTGGAGTCTGTCTCTCTCCCCGTGGTCGCGTCGATTTTTCTCCGGGTCCTCCGGTTTTTCGCCTCCACTTTAAGAATGAACATCACCACACGTTCAGAGTATCTGGCTGCTATAAGAGGTTTTTGGGTTAGATCGCGTAAATGTGTCGTTAAACCCCGCCACCACCTGGCATAGCCACCTAGTAAGGGTTGTCACATAAACATAACGTCCCAATTCGTCACTAGTACATCACTCGTGTATAGTGTAGTGTATATTAGTGCATAGTGTATATTAGTGTATAGTGCAGTGTATATGAGTGTGTAGTGTATAGTGTAGTGTATATTAGTGTGTAGTGTAGTGTATAGTGTAGTGTATAGTAGTGTAGTGTATAGTAGTGTATAGTGTAGTGTATATTAGTGTATAGTGCAGTGTATATGAGTGTGTAGTATATAGTGTAGTGTATAGTAGTGTAGTGTATAGTAGTGTATAGTGTAGTGTATATTAGTGTATAGTGCAGTGTATATGTGTGTAGTGTAGTGTATGAGTGTGTAGTGTATAGTAGTGTAGTGTATAGTAGTGTAGTGTATAGTGTATTATAGGGGCCGTCCATAAATGACATCACGCACCTTGACGTCCTACCTCTCAGAAAGTCCTCTGTGTGTGCACATGGCCGGTGTTGGGAGCGAGTCATGCCACAGTTGACAAGGAGGAGGATCACGTGGCGGAGCCATATATGGCTACATATGGAGCGAAAGATGTTCAACATACATGTGTAGTGGAGTAGGAAGGTGTGCTAGGGAAACTGCGCGAGTGTTTTGATCACACGGACAGTGTGGGGTTTATCTGGGGTCGGCCTGAGGAGACGGCGGAAACATGGTGTCGTGTTAGGACAGCCAGGTGAAGAGGCTGGGGTGATGAGGTAACGGTCGGGCCAATTAAGCCAGAAGGGCTGTGATTGGTTGGTGCTGTTGCTGGGGCCGAGGAGGCGTCGAGGTGTCTGGAAAAAGGCAGGTGGTTTAAGACGCGAGGCGTGCGGAGGCACGCGGACCAATTAATTAGCGATGAGAATGGGGATAAATTGGGGGGAGACAGAGAGAGAGATGGGGAGATTGGAGTTGGGAGCTGTGCGGTGAAGACGTGGAGTTCGGAAACATAGCTTAGAAGAGAGTTGAAGCAAGACGAAGCAGTTAGCAGTGGAGTGAGCATAGTGATAGTGAAGCTGAAGCAAGACGAAGCAGTTAGCAGTGGAGTGAGCATAGTGATAGCGAAGCTGAAGCAAGACGAAGCAGTTAGCAGTGGAGTGAGCATAGTGATAGCGAAGCTGAAGAAGACGGAGCAGTTAGCAGTGGAGAGAGCATAGTGATAGCGAAGCTGAAGTAAAACGAAGCAGTTAGCAGTGGAGTGAGCATAGTGATAGCGAAGCTGAAGAAGACGGAGCAGTTAGCAGTGGAGAGAGCGTAGTAATAGAGGAGCTGGAGACGAGGTGTGCGGAGACAGAGAAGTGAGATTGGGTTTCGCTGTGTGCGACGACGCTGTATATAGCGGAGGAGCTGAGGAGGACAGCCAGCAGTGGAGAGAGCGTAGGAATAGAGTTGAAGACGTGTGAGCGGTGCAAAGCGACGTGATACTGGGAACCAAGGTGGTGAGCGAGACGGGCGAAGCACGGTGAGCGAGCCGCGGTGTCCAGGATACGGTGGAGTGTGGAGGACGTGTTAAACTATGAAAATAAAGAAGTGGTTGAAGAAAGACAAAAGTTGTTCGTGTAAAGTTCAACCACTACACATATACAGTGGTACCTCGGTATACGTTGTTAATTCCTTCCAGAAGGTAGGACTCAAACCGAAAATGACGTATACCAAACGAATTTTTCCCATGAGAAATACAGGGAAAGGAAATAATCCGTTCCAGAGTATAATAAATTATATTTTATATGGCAT